GAGCAGGCCTAGGCATGCACTGCGTCCATTCGTCTGCCAAGTCGGCCAGTTCATGGTGTCGGTCGGACCACTGCAAGAAATGCGCACTGCGAGGCAGTGGAGGCCTTGAAGTTGTTGTTGTTTTTTCCGCGCGTGTGCAACGGCTGAGTGAAACGACGAGCAGGGCGCCCCGCCGACACGCCCTCACAAGCGGAGGGGGGCCGCGACAGGCACCATCAGCCGCGGAAGGGGATATCCCCGAGCAACGGCTTTCCCCTAAGCAGAACACATGTTTGTTCTTTCACCGTCGGGTGTTCAAGTGTGTGCCCCAGTCTTCCCCGCTGCGCCAATCCTTGCATCGCATTGCATTCCGACCCCATGGAGCATGAAGAGGTTCTGGACGCTAGCCCCACTCGCATGTGCATGCTTTCCACTCAGATGCCCGCACATTTCAGTGGACATGCCTTCGCTTTGCATGCGCGGCCCTCGTGACACGCAACCGCAGCCCGCCAAGAAGAGTGAGGCAATAAGATAAGATCCTGGAAAGATGGGATGGTGAACAACATGAAAGAGAAAGGGGAGATGGAATGAGTGAGTGTGTGTCTTTCCTTTTTACCTCGTCCTTAGGCACTTCGCTCTTTCGCCGCACGCAATGCGGCAGCCTTTTTTTTTTTTTTTTTTTTTTTTCTCGGACCTTTTTCCGTCAAGCCGCGGTGAAACAGGGTGAAATACGCGACCGGTCCCTACGCGCCCGGCGCCCAACGGGCGTCGGACAGGACATCGCCCCTTGGCCTTAGTGGCGCCGTGGAACCGCACACGAACTCAATTCACACCCGAAGTTATAAATGATTCAGAAATACGTTCATGCGATCTGGCCGCGCTGTGAAGTACAGGGTGGGGCTGGCTTGCAGTGTCAGGCCACACGTGAGGGAACGGGAACCGATACCTATACGGACAAGGAAGCAGCCGGCACGCACCCGGGACGTCACGGAGTACATGAACATGGCCTGCCTGCTCACGCTGACTTGGTCGCCGGACCGTTGTGGTCCGTGCCCGAACGGGTCGACAACGCATACTGGAATGGCGACAAGCTACATCAAAGTGGTCGGCAAGCTGCTGCTTTGAGGTGCAGGACACAAGCCGCCGCAAGAGGTCATCAACAGCCGGAGCCCGTTCATGTTGCGCAGGGAAACGCTGGTCGTTAGAGGGCTCGTCGTCATCCAGCACGAATAAACGCAAACTTTGCGTGAGCGTCTGTGATTGGCAAGGAACTGATCAAGCTGCGGCGTGGCTGCTCCGCCTCCTAGGGTCGGCGATCTGCTGCAAAGTGGCGGCGTCATTCGGAGCAGGTTACCGCATGGCCGGTAAGTACCTGGCCACAATCCAGCCTTTCTCAGCCTTGCTGGCCAACGCCAGGTTCCGCTCTGAGCATAGCATGTGTGCATATATGGAACCCAGCTTGGCACTGCTACGTGAAGGGAATCATGCGTGGGCATGGAGGACATTGCGCTGGTCATCCGCTCTAGCATTGCATTGCTCGTTGTACCCCGGGCTGGGCCAGCCTGGCCTGCAGCGCTTGGTCGTCCTCGCGGCTGAGGTCGGTGACCGTTGGCATGCTGCTGCCGCAGCCCTTGTCCGACAGCTTGCCCGCGTGCGCGCCAGGCGCGGGCTCCACCCGCGGTGCGGCGGGTCGCCCGCGCCGGCTGGAGTCGGCGCCGGTGGGGCATTCTGGCCGTTGCGGTGCAGCGCGCGGTTTGCAGCACCGTCCTGGATGCAGCTGCGGTGCATCATGCGGTTGTTGCAGGAATAGGAATGCAACTGCGGTGCATTCGAGGCCTTGAGGCCCGCACGCGGGGAGTCCTCAACCACGAGGCAAGCAAGGCCTGGCTAAGCCAAGGTCTCCGGGGACCTGACTAGACGATGTTGCTCGATGCCTCTGCGGGGCAAAAAGTCAACATGTTCTACGCATGGATGCAGCTGTGGTGCATCAAAAAAGTTGCCACAGCGGTACAACAAGCATGCAGCTGCGGTGCATTCGAGGCCCGCAGTGATGGCCGGCCACACGCCGGCGCGGCGGATCGCGATGGCGTCGCGCTGTCCACAGCTGAGCGGCGTAAGCGCACGCGGTACCCCGAGCTGGGCCAGCCTGGCCCGCAGCGCTTGGTCGTCCTCGCGGCTGGCCGTTGGCATGCTGCTGCCGCGGGCTTGCCAGCATGCGCGCCAGGCGGGCTCCACCCGTGCGCGGGTGCGGCGGGTCGCCCGCGCCGGCTGGAGTCGGCGCTGGTGGGGTTTGCAGCACCGTCCTCAGCCGCTGGATGTCGCCGCCTCTGCCTGCTGGGGGGAAGGGCCGTTGCTCGGGGATGTCCTCTGCCTGGCAGAGCCGAGCGCCCCCAGCAGCCTCCCCCTCCGCGGGTGATGGTGCCTGTCGCGGTTTTTTTCCGGTTGTGAGGGCGTGTCGGCGGGGCGCCCTGCTCGTCGTTTCGCTCAGCCGTTTCACTGCTCGTCTCACCCACGCGCGCCGTACGGAGAAAACGTAAACACGGCATTTACTGCATTTACTCCGATCTCTGTTTTCGTGCATGGCGGATAATCAGCCTGGCCGCATGAGCAAAACAGTCCTGCGAGTGTGCGGTCTTTACAGCCATTAGCCTCGCTCCTGGAACAACCAGCGCTCAGGTTCCTGATGCCTCGCACGCGTGCCGGACTGAGCTGCACCGAACATTGCGTTTCCAAGTGCAGCCAGTCCCAGATCAAGCCGTGTTCCAACTTGCCATTGCCAGCATGTCTCTCGCGAGCGACGCTGACGCATGCTTCGCAGCCATCGAAGATTTTGAGGCCGCGGCGCCTCAACAGTGGCCGCAGTGCCACCGCATGGATGACTCGCCATCCCGAGCCGTGCAAGACGGTTTTTCGTGCCTGCTCAGCAACGCGCCACCCAGACCGCAATGATCGCATGATATGCGTGAACCGCATGGGGCACCTTTGCAATTTCTTGCTAGACATCCTCTGCATATTGGGTGTGCATTGCACGCATGCGGCATCGCCGCAGACACTAACAACGTCTACAACGACGAGGCGCGGGGCTTGCTTCGGCGCCCTCGCTCGTGCTGACGCGAGGGGGCGGCGCTGAGGGGGAGCGGCGCTGAGGGGGGGGGGGGTGGCGCTGAAGGGGGGCGGCGCTGGGGGCGGCGCTCAGGGTAAGCGGGCGCGCTGGGGCGGGGCAAGGGGGTGAGAGGCTGCGAGGGCCTTAGCTGCAACCCTCGCTGGCCTGCCTGGTTTTTGCTCGGGACCTTAAAATCGCCAGAGGGCAGGGGGCAGAGGCGAGGCCAGGATGGTGTCCACCACAATCTGAGTTCGACCGCTCCAGTCTGCAGAGGGGGAGGTCGGCAACCTCAAGGCGGCAAGGCGGACTGGGAAGCTCATGTTTACAAGGCAAGCTGATTGAAGAGAGAAAAAAAGTGGCAGGAGGGCAAACGCGTGGAACAAGTGCGAGGGAACCAGCCAACTGAGAAGCGATCGGAACGGCGAACAGCTGACCAGCCATTTGGGGCCCAGCTGCCAGGTTGGCCCCTGAGCCTCCTTGCAACCCCGACGGGCCAAAAACCGCGAGCGGCGGCAGCACGAAACAGAAACATGACCACAAAGACTTCTGCGCGCGTGTCGACAAGTGCGCTGAACTCATTTCCACTCGCCCTGCAATTGATTTCGGTGTGCAAGGCATCATGCGCCCGCCCCTGGTGCAGCGCGTGCGAAAGTCGCCTTCGTGACCGACTGCCGGAACACGTCTTTCTCACAAGCTTACAACCAGCGCTATTGATGATCGTCTCTGTCTTTTTGCCTTTGCCGCATTCGAGTCAGGTCACTAGACGTGGGCCGTGGCCAGGTGAAAACGAGTACTGCGGTGCCGCAGCATGCAATTGTCGCTGGGCTGCTGGGGGTGGCCCATGCGTGATGTGGCGCGGTCTGCGCCGGATCTGTTGCTCCCAATGCCGACGGAAAAAAGGTGCAGAGGAAACAAAGCACAACACACAATCTCAGTGGCGAAGCCAAGTCCACGCGCAGCCAGCGACACAAGGAGCGGAGCTCCTTTGGACGGCCGATGCCACCCGCTTGCTGGCCGCGCCTGTGCTGTCTGACGCGCTCCAGTGGCGCCGCGCAGTCCGCAAAACGGCATAGTCCGTTGCGTTGGGTATCGCGAATTATGTTCAGCCGATTTCAACCGTACGCTTCGTGAGACCGTCGCATGCTCAACAAAACATGGAGCAGGGAACGGTCCAGCTGTTGTTCTCCTTTTTTCAAACAGGGCTCCTTAAAAGATACATTCTGCAACCATTTGAAACATGTTGCTTTTTCAACAGCAAAATACATGGAAACCACCACATAGAAGTTGCAATGTTCAGGTGTATAATGCATCCCTGTCAAAGGCCCGAATGGCCAACCAGTGCCAAAGTGGCCAACCAGGCCTTTGCCGAGCTACGGGTCCGGGGCGCAGCTCGGCAGTTTCCTCCGCTTGTGGCACATGCTGCAGTCAGAGAACACCACGAGCGAACAGGCAAGAGTTGCAAGGGCACTTCAGCTCAAGGTGCGGCTGTCGTCGACTTTACAATCTGTATAAAACAAGACAAACTAAGCATGTCGAGGTGTTTTGACTGCTTGTTGCATGCGGTGGCCTCACGTGCTTGGCTGAGGGAAGTTTTTTCTTCCGTGTCTCCTGCCTGGTGTGCAGCCGTGCTTGGACATTAACTTTGTCCGTTACCGTTTTCTAGTCAACGCTGCGACCTGTAGAACTTTTTAACTTGTAAAGAAGGCCACACGAAGGCAACATCGCAGTACTCGATTAGAGACTGAGAGTTGGCATCATACCCCTATGATTTTTTTCTCGCAGCGCAACGTGCTTTTGACAGTCTCCTTTTGTTGCCTGGCTCATCCCACCCACACTCTGCTCAGCGGTTTCTGTGGGCAGCCTATCATTTCGCACGCTCGCGGCCTTTTTCCGCTGCTGTCATGGCGAGTCATTCGGCCAGTATCCGGCGGACAACCGCTCCAGGGGAAGTTGTGAGCAAGCCACGCGCTGCTCCGCAGCGTCAAACTAACACCAGAATGCAGCTTGTTGTCGTCCTCCGAAAACCGCCGTTCACGACCTCTGGCTTTGGCAAAACGCATGACCTCTGCGAGCGGCTGCTAGGTGGCATCTGGTGAGGCAGCTTAGGTCACTGAAGACGCATGTAACGCGTGGAAGATCTTCATCCTTCAGGCCATTCGACTCGAAGCGGTACGGCAAACTCATGGATGCAAAAGAACGTGTGTCACACGTGCAATTTAGATCCTCGCATCCCTCATCATTTGAACAGGCCAAACCCAGCTCCCAACACCAACGCCCAAATTCAACATCCTGTTTCTAATTCATGGACGTCGGGTATCGCAAAATGTCAGGCAAACATTCGAGTGGAACACTTGAAGGCGATGCAAAAAGAGGTTGGAAACTGGAGGCCAAGTTGCTCCGTTGTTTTGGCGGCGCCGTAACCCACAGCAACAAAGAGCATGGTATCAGAGCCTTGCTCCTGCCAGGAAATCCGCTCTGCTTGTTTTTTTGTCCTTTCTCATCACTCTGAAAACATATCTGTCTATCTACCTGTCTACCTGTCTATCTGCTTATGTATGATTCTAATTGCATTTCCGATCGAACCTGGTCTTAGCTCCACTAGTCTGACGGCGCTGCGCTGGGGCGTTGGTTTCCAGTGTGCCTGGTTCTTGGTTTCTGTTTGGTGTTTTGGTTGCGTTGCGTTTTCTTTGTTGTTTTGTTTTGTTTTCTATTGATCAAGTTGGCATTCGGATCCTTTTTTTGTTCGACGCAGCAATGTTGCTTCCGGCAGTCATCACGGCTCAGGATTTGGTGGGCTTTGGTGCTTACCCTTTCTGCTTCTGGTTTTGGCCTTTACGTTTTTGTTTAGGTTTGTTTTGGTTCGTCTGCGGCGCCCCTTATGGTTGCACCTCCCATTGGATGATGTGCATAGCGGACCGTCTACATAGACAGTGGCTGCGAAGTGCAGCGAAAGAACTGATAAAGGCGCTGCCACGAACGCATGTTCCCTTCTGGCGCCTCCGCCAGTGTTCCTCAAATTGCCTCAACGCCTTTCTATCAAGCAAAAGTTTGGAAGCAGCTATTCCAGCCCGGCACAAAGCCACTTCAGATATGGACGGCCCGCAGTTTACGGAGTCCGTAAAGAAGAGACGGGTAGAACGTACATATAGCAAGTAAAAAAAGCCAACACTACAGCTGCACGTCATCAGACAAAATTCGTCAAACTCAGAAGCGTGGCCGATGCTGCGCAATCGAGACACAACAAACAAACAAAAAACAGAACGCCAAAATCACGGTTCCTTGAAAAGGAATGCAAGCCCAACATTCAGAGCGCGGATGGGTATACTCAAAATTTGAAAAGCTCAACTTACAACCGGGAAATTTAGAAGCAAACGTGTCCAGCCACTCCCACGCATGTGTGCCGCTGGCCGTTGTTTGAACAAATATGTTGTGTATGTACACAAGTTGAAACACCCATGCGTAAACACGTGGACCGTTCAAAACTGTTTAGCAACAGCCAACATACACAAAACGGCCTGTTCAAATGTATTCGATAATTTATATGTGCCTCTCACGAAATCATAACTACAAATGAGCAGAAGAGTTTTTTTTGGGTACATAAAAAAATCCGTCGCAAAAAGCCTACGCGGCCTACGCGGACTGCGCAAGCACACTGTTCCAGCCTACGCGGCTCCGGGCGCTACAAACTAGACCACGGTTGGCCCGAAAGCATCACAGCCCCGTGATCATTCCGCGCAAGCTTTTTGCTCGATCTGTCAGCTACAAACAGCCATCATCTACAGCAAGAGGAGCACTTCACTTTCGAAGGCGTTTCCTCTACTCTGGAACAAAGGCAGCACTTCACTTTCGCTTGTTGCTCGCGACCTCCGGCTTCGCGGCAAGCAGGCCCGAGACCATGTCCTTTGCTTCCGCGAGCCTGACAGCCCAAGCCTGATTCTCCAGCGCTCAAGCCATCCAGAAATGGAGATGCGCCGCGCGCAATGTAAATGAATGTGTTTGCAAGGCGCTTCAACGCGCGTGCAAGACCGAGCAGGCCCCAGACCATGTCCTTCTCTTCCATGAGCGCGACAGTTTGCGCCCCAGGACCAAGCGCACGAGCCATCCAGAAATGGAGACGCATCGCGCGCAATGTAAATGAATGCGCTTGCAATGACTCTCACGATCACTCTGCGCAATGGCTCTCACGATGATTCTGCGCAATGACTCATGATGACTCTGCGCAATGACTCTCGTGATGACTTTTCTTCAGCGGGGCCAGTTCGAGAACGAAAGCCGGGGAAAACTCCCGAGGCCGAGACCTAGAAGCAACCCCCCCCCCGCAAAAAGGAACCAACCCAAAAGCAGGGGCCCGGAACCCGCCAAAACCACAAAAGGAGAAACCAAAAGAGCGAAAAACCCCAGGGGAGCCCGGTCTCAACCCACAGAGTTCCCGCCACCCAGTCTACGTTGCCAGCGCTATTCACAGTAGCAACCTACGAACCCCGGCACTACGTGCAGCGCCCCACGCGGCACATACAGAGAGTAAGGGGATGGACCCCACGTGGCCCAGTGATCAAGGCTCCCAAGGTGCCAAGGCGTCCCAAAACGCGCGCACTCGCGTGGGTGGGAAATGCCTCCGCCAGAATTTCGGCAAGAACGGGCTGGATGCCCTATTTCGGCCACAAAGGCAGGAAATTTCCTCAAAGCAAAAGTTGCAGGTGCCTCGAAGGCCACTCCCAACAGAGACTATCGGATAATACACCCCACGACCAAAAGAATAAGGCATTTCCTGCATACTGCCCTCCCGGATGGGACATGAAGTTTACAAGATGGATACATCCAACTTGCGGCGGGCATCTTCCTCGGGCCGTCAAAATCGGGCAAGACCGTGGCGCTGATCAGCCTGATTCTGGAGCAGTATCAAGGCATCTTCGAGAGGACTTCAACCCCAGCGTCAAGACGACGGCTGGGTCCCCGTCAAGAAGCACATCGAGCAGCACCTGGGGTGAACACGGAGCGCGAGCAGGCCTACTGGGACGAGTGGAACGAGGCGCTGCGGCGCATCATCCAGCAGCAGCGCAAGATCACCAAGGCGTCCAAGAAGCTGGAGATGAAGATGCTGTACCAGGTCGAAAACTTCGCCAACACGCCGCAGCTCCACAAGCCCCACGGCGCGCTGGACACGCTCTTCATCCGAGGCCGGCACATGCAGATTAGCACCTGGGTGAGCTCCCAGAAGCTGCGGCTCATCAGCGCGGCCGCGCGCGTGAACATGCAGTTCCTCTGCTGGTAGAGGCTGCGCAACCAGCACGAGCTGGAAGGAACTGAGCGCCCTGCTCCGGGATGGGATCAACGCAAGGTGTGAGAACATCTCCTGCACCTCCGTCCGCCCCCGTCCGCGTTCCTAAAAGGATGACGACCATCTACGTCAACAGCCGCAAGAGGAGGGTGGCCGGCTTGGACAGCGACTTCAAGGTCGACCTGGGGCTGCAGAGCAACGGACAGCTTCCTGTCAACCGACCGGGGCCGCTACCTCTACTGAGTCGACGCCACGCTCGCCTATTGGGCTTGGACGACGGGCACTTCATGGCCGTGAGGGCCCCGTCACCCTGGAGGCACAGCCCAAAGCACAGTTTGAAGAAGCAACAAGCGAGCGCCTTGCGCGTGTTGCAGAGACAGTCGGCCTATGACCGGTTGACGGCAGGCGCAAGCGTGCTAGTATGAAAGAAAGCAGGATGATGTCCATCGAGCCCCGCAACGAGCCGCAGATGCCTCGGTTCCGCAAGACCCACCCCAGCTACGACCTGCAGGAGCTGGAGGAGGCGCGGGCCTTCAACAACTGGCTGGGGAACGCAGGCGCGCCGAGCGCCGGGGCGTCGAACAGGCTGCGGGCAAAGTTGCTGCGCAGTCAAGAGATGAAGACGCTTCGGCCCCACACGCTTTGAGCAGGTGGTGGGCTACATCGAGCAGGGGGAGCCCTTGCCCCTCAACCAGCCGCCGCCAGGCGACGTCACCTGGACAACTTCGTGCAGCCCAGCTCGTTGTCCTGGCAAACCCCTCCAGCCAGGTCACCGCCGTGGGCCTGCCCACCGGGATACCCGGCAGCACCCTGACGATCAACAACACGGCCAACGCGGGGAACTTCACCACGGTCGGGGACGTGTTTACGGGCACCCTGACTGCAAGCTTCCAGATTTCCAACAACAGCGCGGCCTCCGACAGCGGCCCGGAGCTGCGTCTGCTGGGCAACCAGAGCGCACGGGTCTTCCTGGAGCGGGGCGGCGGGGCGCACCAGCGCAAGCTCATCATGATCAACGACGAGCCTCTCGGCTGTCCCTCACCACGAACCAGAGGAACCCGGCTGCCTGGTGATAGCCGGCAACACGGTGCAACGTGGTCTGCAACACAAGCTTCACCAACCTGTCGGACAGCCGGGTGAAGACGGAGATGGAGGCCGACATGGGGGAGCAGCTGCAGCTCTTCGACTCCGTGGAGGCTAAGCAGTACAAGCGCCCCGACATGAACGGGGACCTGAGGCTGGGCTTCGCCTCGGACGACTTCGCAGGAACGAAGTGGAAGAACCGGACGAGGACCACCCGGTGGAGCGACGGCACCGAGATGGTCACGCTCGACTACTCGCACCTCACCAGCGTGCTCTGGGGGGCGCGCGGGCCAAAGAACCAATAAGAAACATGGCCGACGCCCGCAGACAAACCATCAAGGCTGTCTACGAGGACCCCCGCAGGCTCAGCCCCGCGATGCTGTCCAGAAAAAAAAGTGATGGCGTTTCTGGACGTACAACAGCTTGAACAAAGAAACATTGGCTCACTGCCCACCTGGCTTGCAAGAGCCATTTTAGGGGCCTCCTGTTTGATTGCAGAATGGTGCTCTCAAGCTCACCTCGCAACTTCTTCCCATGGCTCTTGGCAGCTGTCGTGGCTGGCATGTGTGGCACAACTTGTATCCTTCCTGCAAAGCCTGCACCAAAGATTTGGTTCTGACACCGTCCGACGACCTCGTCCTGCGAAGGATTCAAAATGCTGCGTGCAGGCGTGTGGCTGCAACAAAACGACCCCTAGATACGCTTGCAATTTTCCTCCAGGTTGCATTTCAGCAAGCCGAGCTTTGCAGGGCTAAGAAAAAAAGAAAAAAAGAGGAGAAAAAAAAGGCCCGAAACAAAAGCAAAAAGGGGGTTCCTTTGGTCGACCTTGCTGAAATGCAACCTGGAGGCAAGTTGCAGCGCATATCTAGGGGTCGTTTTGTTGCAGCCACACGCCTGCAGGCAGCATTTTAGATTTCAAATCCTTTGCAGGACGAGGTCGTTTCCTGGACGGACGAGTGTCAGAACCCTCCCAGGTGCAATAGAATCCGTTTGACAAATAGCCTCTAAAGAGAGAGGTTGCCCTTGTCAATATTGATCCATTGTTGACTTTCCGTCGATTCAAGATGACTCAATATTGACTCAATATTGCCTCACTCTTGCCTCAATATTGACTCAACAATGGCCTGGTATCGAGGCCTTCCAGCCTGGTATCGAAGCCTCAGCCTGCCGAGCCGCACCACGTCCAGCCTGATATCGAAGCCTCGACGCCAGCCTGCCGAGTCATACGGATCATACGGATCATACGGTCATACGGTCATACGGATTGGCACTTCGGGAGTGCGCCAACCTGGTATCGAAGCCTCAACACCAGCCTGGTATCGAAGCCTCAACGCCAGCCTGCCGAGCCGCGCCACCCAAAGTCGGAATTCCGACTTCGCTCACAGCTTCCGATTTTGCCCAAACAACCATCGCCGGACTCCGAACGCGTGCCGGTTGCGTGCTTTCAACCATACCGACGAGACGATATCGTTGACGGAGCTTCCGCCGCACGGTTAGCAAAAAAAACTCGCCGGCCTCGCTTTCCGAGCGAAGCCAGCCGCCCTCGCTTTCTGAGCGAAGCCGCCCAGCCGACCTCGCTTTCCGAGCTTCCGGAGCCTGGTTTTCACCAAGAAAGTCGCCCCCTCCGACTTCGCTCTTCCACCGAGGTCGTGATCGTGAAAAGCACAAGTGTTGCTTGTGCTTTCAAGGCCACCCACGGAAGGTGTCACGCCGTGACACGTACTTGGGGAAACTTGTCCGAAGTCCAAGAGTTTTCCGAAGTCGGGGCTGCTACCCCCCACTTCGGAAAACTCCCAAACGCCGACGAAGCACGACCGGAATCCGGACTGAATGGTACTCAACTGCGCTCGTGGCAGGAATCGAGCCCGCGCGGGGCAAGAACCCGCAAGCCAACGCACCGCTGTTGAACCACTGGACCAACAACGGCGGCGAAACACATGGGAAGCCGGGTTCGATAGACTCGAAATTCTGTCGAGACCACCATTGTCCGCAGTCAGTGCTGCTACCCCTCACTGCGGACAACTCCCAACGCCCCGCGCAGGCCTCCTCTCCGAGGGAACGCAGAAACGGCCGGCCGGGCCACCAAGCGCGCCACGCAGGAGCTGACGGGGGACGACAAGAACTTCGTGGTCACGACCGACCTGGGCAACGAGTTCGCCACGCTGGACCGGGAGCTGCCCGAAGCCGTGCACCGAACGCCCCGAGGATCGCAACGCCACGGCCGGTGGACCGGGGAATCCAGACGCTGAAGAAGGACCTGGCCACGCCGTGGCCCGCAAGGGCGGGCAGTGGAGCGAGCAGCCGGCCTACAACGCCCGGCCGCACGAGACGGTGCACGGCGTTTGCGAGGACGTGGAGAAGCAGCCGGCCACCGAGTTCCGGCTGCTGCAGGACAACGCCGACAAGTTCCAACACAACAAGGACTCCATGACCGTCCTGGTGCTGCCGGCGCCCCAGGGCAGCGGCAACGCAGCGGGCCGACTGATGAGAGGGGCAGGCTGGCAGCTGTGAGGCAGCTGGACGACTTCCGAGGCCCAGGACCATCGACTGATCGAGCCTGTTTTTGGGGCAAAATGGCGCGTTTGCTGCAGGACCGTCTTGAAACGGGTCGCGCGTTGCACAACTCAGCTGTCGCGGCACATTAGGTTGATTTTTTCGCTACACGCTCTTGTTCCGGCGGCGATCCGTCAGTTTGCGGCGTCAGTTTCGGTCGTGATCCGTCAGTTTGCGGTCGTGATCCGTCAGTTTACGGTCGTGATCCGGTCGTGATCCGTCAGTTTGCGATCGTGATCCGTCAGTTTCGGTCGCGATCCGTCAGTTTAGGTCGCGATCCGTCAGTTTACGGTCGTGATCCGTCAGTTTACGGTCGCGATCCGTCCGTTGTCGTCAGTTTACGGTCGTGATCTGTCAGCTTCCGTCCGTTTTCGTCAGTTTGCGGTCGTGATCTGTCAGCTTCTGTCCGTTTTCGTCAGCTTCGTATCATGTCGCTGCAGATGTTGCTTTAAGTGTAACTACGGAAGCGTTTGAGCCCAGCTTGGAGCAACGCTTTTGATGAAAGCTGACGCGCCCTTGAGCAAAAGCTCTTGTTCTTTGGCCTTGGGATGCGCTGGTTGCTTTCCAGTCGGATGGACGATCCATAAAGCTTACCAGTTTCAGGGCCAGTGGACAGGCGCACTTATCACGTTGCTTGCCAAGAATGCCACCTGCAAGCCGCCTCGCAGCAGTGTGGGTCTGCTCTTCAACAAGCTTATCTGAGCGCCACGCTCAACAAATAGCATGAAACAATGCGCACAAGTTGCCAATCATTTCCTCCGCACTTCAAATGGTTCGGTGCTGCATCTGCGCACTTAGGCACAAGGAGGAATGCCTCGGTGAAACAGCTGTTGACCAGCGCGTCGCTGGTCCTGTACCCGTTGCACGCACATTTTCTGTTCGTCTTGAACACAGCAGCCTGATGTTCAAAAGTGTGAACATTGACCTCCCTTACGCTTCAAGAGTCAAGCAAAAATGCACTGCAACGAAACAACTGTGCCTGCGACTGCACCCTTTGTCACTGCACGACGTGAAACGTTGTGCCCCAGCATTGCCTCAGCCGAGAATAGCAAGTGACCACAGCTAGCAGTAGCCTGGCAACGATGCAAGTTCACAAGTGTGGAGCACTACTGCGCTGCTGAGGTGCCTCAAGCTATGCGGCTCCAGCAGCTCCAGCTGGTAACATGAATCCGTAGCAGTCTGCCCTGAAAGCTGGGCGACGGCACCAACCCAAAGTTGAAAGGCGTCGATCCGAGTGCTCGGCTCATCTGTGTTGTGCAGACTTGCTGACATCTTGGCTTCCTTGACCCAGCGGCCGTCCTGCAAAGTCAAGCTGAGACACGGTAAGGGGTGAGAGAATGGAACGAATGGGCACGCTTTGACATGCAAAGCTCTCCTCTTTGCTGTAAATGTCAATTTCATCAGCATCGCATATGACTCGGTTTGGCTTCTCCTGCTTGATGGCCTCAAGAAACGCTCAGAGTTGAAATCACTCAAACCTTCCATCTTTGTCATCGCCCTTCTACAAACAGCTCGCAAGACAGCATGAGCGAAATTCGACTTGAGCCCTTTCAAGGGCGGGGCTTTCTTCAAGTCATCCACCTGACATCCCCGCAAAGCATGAAGCAGCATTTCCGAAGGCAAAACAAGCTGAAGTAGATCCTTCGCAAAGTGGCGCAGCTGAGGCGTGGGCATCTGAAACACTAGCAGTGATTTTGAATGCGTTGCCGACGATCTCAAAGTCCTTGCCATCCTCGCAATGCACAAGCACTGCAATCCAGTTCAGATCCATCCGCTTAACCAGTGGCTCCGCGATTTTCACAAACGCAGTGGATTTTGGAGGTGGGGGCTTTGGAAATGCTTCTTTCCTGCGCGTCACAAAAGGGAATGGACATTGAATAAGAAAGGGCATGGCAGCAAAACATACAAAGTATTTCGTCTTGGAAGATATCTTTCAACAAATCCTGAGCAATAAACAACCCTGCAATCTATCCCCGCGGAAAGTAACAAGAACAACGTATGACAAGACGTTGTCTTGCACCACCAACTTGCCCGCTGTCAATCTCTCGACTTTGGGAAGTCACATGCGCAGTGTCAAACCTTGTAGGATAGGCATGACTGACAGGAAACGCTAGCTGGGAGGGGTCGTCTCAAACTCCTTGCCATCCTTGCAAAGGGCTGCAATCCAGTTTCATCCATCGATCGCAAATAAAAATTCGCTGGGCTCTGCAATTCTCACAAACACCTTCAATTTTGAGAGGTGGGAGACAATCTTCTGAGGAAACAAGTCGACCCTTTGACAGCTTTTCTCGAACATGAACGCAGGGCAGGCAAAACTGCACAAAGCTGGTAAGGCCCAGGCAGGGCTTCCCAGCTGACAGACCCACACTGCTGGGGGTGGTTGCGAGGCAACTTTGCCTTGCGAGGTGGCATTCTGAGCAAGCAACGTGATAAGTGCGCCCGTTAGCTTTCACTGGCCTTGAAACTGGTGGAGCTTCAAAAATCAAGCTTCAAATAGATCGTCCATACATTCAACTGGAAAGCAACAAGTACTTCCCATCCGAGGCCAATGAACAAGAACGGCAAGAAATGATGTCGAGGGAATTGGTCTGACAGCGCCAAGCGGAGAAGAAGAAAAAAAAAAGCTTGAAATTGAAGGGGGAAAGCGACGCTTGGACGTTACCATATAACAACGTGACCTCGCAAGATTGCTTGCATCTGCTTAAGGGCACGTCTGCTTCACATGTGCCATGGGCCATAAACCATCATGCAAACCTGCAACGCAAAGCAGAAGATTCTGAACTCTAAAGTGATGCCCATGGCTCAAACCAAAAAAACTTAGCACAGGCACACTTTTCCTGCAAAGTTCATCAGCTAAGCTGCCAATGCTCTCCATGCTCTCCATCCTTGCCAGCTCCTTCCCAATCTTCCATCTCATCAGCGTGCCCGATGGTACAAGGGCAAATTCATGATTTCCATTCCACATGTTTTCGGGTTGGTCAAAATACTCTGACCTCTTCGCAACGATGCCACCTACGTTCTCTTCAGCGATGAGCTTTGCAGCAGCATCTAGCTTCAGATTGTAAACTGGAGACCACCCCTGTTCCAGCATGTTTTGCAAATGTGTCTTTGCATCAGGGTCAGCAGCGCAAGCTGGTAAGCCCGGGCAGTCCACAATGCAAAATGGATCCAAAGCACTCCTCTTCCTTGCCAACTCCTTCACTGCTGCGGAGCAAAGATCAATGTTTCCACCGAAGTAGCTGAAGAACTCCTTTCCGAGGTCCTCACTCATGCCCCATCTGTCCACCATGAGCTGCAGCATGTCCGCTTTGGGCACTTCGTTCACGTTGATGATGCGTTGGATATCTTGCAGGTTCATGCCGCAGTTGCGAAGCCGGAAAGGATAGCCAAAGTCTGAAGTGATGAGCACCACGCCTGTTTTTTTTGCTTCCTTGGTAAGCATGACGAAGTATTGCAATGCTTGCCTCGCATTGTGGATATTCTCCGGGTCCTCACCTGCTGGCAATGCTATATTGGCCTCGTCCACGAGGATGCATGTGTCATTGCCTTCGGTGCGGAAGGTGTCTATTAGCTCCAACAAGGTCTGCTCCCTGTCAGTCGATGTCAATGAGTCGACTAGCACTTTTACTGCAGCAGATATCGGTGTTGCAGCGGCTGGCGCTACGACCCCCGGATTCGTGCCAATTGCTACTGCACTCGCAAGGCTTGAAGCCACCTTTTGCAGGATTCCAGCCCAATCAGAGCGTTTGGATGCTACTCTGCCCAAGATAGCCTTGAAGAGCTCTTTGCTGGGCTGCTCCCTCATGTTCACATCCATGAACGTCAGGTTTGCGTTGGGCTCGTTTTCAAGCTCGCGCACGGTTCGCTTGCGCATCAGCGTCTTGCCGAGATTTTTCCCTCCAAGTACGAGTGACAATTGTGTTGAGCGCATTGCTTGCCGGAGTGACTCTAAAAAATCGCCCCTGTCAACCACTTCGTTGGTTTTCATGAAGTCATCTTGCCGTTGCAACACATTGGATAAATACTGCTCGACTTCCAGACCTTCTTTTATAGCAGCCTCGCTTGCCAATGTGTGGAACCGAAACGGAGGACGTAGTGCTGGTCTTCCATCCTGACTGTTGCCAATGCTCTTCAGGGCGATGCTCGAATGTGCACCTTGGCGTGGGGCAAAATTCAGAGGTAAAACAACGCAAAAGCAGTTAAACAGAAGCAAGCTCCTTCAGCGAAAGCACGGTTGCGAACCGTCTGGATGAAGCACAGGTCAGAAGCTACCATGAGCAGGAAGAGAAGCCATGGCTTTCTGTGGGCATGTCTCATTGTGGGCAATCAATCACAAAAGTCACGCCGAAATGTCACTGCATGACCAGGAAGCCAACACATCACACATGTTTGCGTTTTTGTATGATTGTTTACAATTTCCACTTTGTCAGCATGAATGGACATATGAACATTCTTACATGCTGAACAAGCTCATGCGCAAGTCAAGGCTTGCTGGACGCCAGTGGAGCCCGCTCCAAAATTTGAGCAAAAAGGCCTTGCAAAACAACTGCTGGAAATCCCTGCGAAACATGCCCAAACAAGCCGTCATGGGGACTACGCTTTTGCAAACTCATGAGGCTGCGCAAAAAAAAATCATTCAACAACGGGAAATTTGTTAGTTTTCTCTGTCCTGCGCGCTGGAAACGGCAGAGTGAGGAAGTCCGCCGCAGTGCCTCTTTGTTGTAAGAGTCAAAGTTGGAAGTCCGGCGCTTCGACCCAAGCTTGTTCAGCGTGCCGCTTTTCCAGCGTTAAGCAAAAATCTAATGTGTCCAACATACTGCTCCGCGCCGAGCTCGACTGTGAGTGAAATGCGTGTAAAGCAAGCGCAAGTCGTCTGCCGCCATGTCTGAAAACGCGGCGTGCTTGAAAGCGACATCTGGCAGCCTCCATTGGGGGAAAGGTCAAGCTTGCTTGTTGGAAATGCCGGTTGAAAATCAACTCGTCTAGCTGAGCTTTCAAGCAATGTGGCAAGGGCTGGGCTCTCACAGGACTTGCTCATCAGGCGCGTTTTCTGTCCAGCGGCCGTCGGGGTCAGATCGAGCATCAGTCAGTGCCGCGCGCGTGAACATGCATCTGCTGCTGGAGGCTGCGCAACCAACACGAGCTGGACGCCGTCATCGAGGAGCTGAGCGCCTGGTTGTGAAGGACAAGCTGCACCGGCTGTACGGGCGGGCGACCAGGGACCCTACAGCTTCCTCTTTGTGCGCCACGCTGACGATCACCGGGGCGGCCTCCGTGGGCCCGCTGGACTGCGAGAGCCTGGACTGCACCTTCACGGCCACGAGCGGGGGAGTGTCGACGGTGTGCGGCGACGTGACGAGCTCGGGCACGGTCTCCGCCCCGCAACTCTTCGCGTCCAACACGCTCACCGTGACCAACACCTCCGACTTCGCGGACGACCTCACTCTGACGAAGAACTGGGCTGGCTGGAGCAAGGTGCAGATTTCCAACAACAGCGCGGCCTCCGACAGCGGCCCGGAGCTGCGGCTGCTGGGCAACCAGAGCTCGCGCTAGCAGGCCCCTGGCCTCCTCGCAAGCCTCTTTGCGACAACGTGGCTGCGACGACAATGCCCAAGCTGCTGAGCTGTTCTGCGGCGCGAAGTCAATTGGACAAGCCTTCGAGGCGGCGGGCTGCAAAGAGCCCCGACCATGAGAGAAACACGCTGGACGCGACCTGGCCTGAACGCAGAGGCCGGAAACGCTAAAAGCAGATGGCCCGGTGAACCCAACAGTACTTAGTGGACGTAGTGGGCCGGCCTTTTGGCGCTTGCCCGGTGACAGCCTAGAGTGTGAAGCTTTCACCACGCCGTTTTTGGGGAAGCTTTTCTTGTGTAACGGGGTGCAAGGAGTCAAGGCCACCCTCCACAAGCCTTAAGCATCCTATGACAAAAACGAATCCCGGAGTGTGATTCGCCCCAAAACCCCGTCGACACGCGCGCCAACATTTTTCAATTCAGGTCTTCTAAGCACACCCACACACACACGCAGACTCTAGAGATGCAGTTTCAATGGCTTCTTCGCGGCCGAGGTCAAAATAATTTGAATGGGGATTGCAATGAGAACCGACGCAACCCTTGCAACCCCGCATTACAAGCCCCTGTTTTGTGTAACCAGAAAAAAGACAGGACACCAACGTACCTAATGGTCAACGCAGTTATAGCCTCCTCCACAGAGGACACAGCAGTGCGATGTATCCTGGCCCAAGCATACCCTTGGACGAGCAGCAGGGAAAATAAATTGGTTGGCATGGTTCCATTCCTCCGGACAACAATCAGCAAGCCAGTGGTGCTCAGGCAACAGCGCAGCTAAGAGCACATTGCCAGGGAGACGCGCATCCGCGACTGAATGGAAGTCGAAGCCCCAAGGATAGGTCCGGCCAACACGTCCACATCCGCAACAGCGCAACATGGGACTTGTTCTGCATCCATGCATCGTCATCCTCCCCAATCGAAGAAGGGCGAACCGGGGGATGCGCCGTCGGTATCTCAGCAAGCCGTTCAAGGGCACGAAAAGGGGGGCACCCTGGCCACGCCGTGGCGACTCGTCGGACAGCATTCTTTGCCGATACCATTCAACCCCGCAGACCCGGCTGGCACGCAGAGTCACTGGTCTTGTAATAGCATAACGCAACTGCCCATACTGCTTCGGGGGCAGCCGTCGTCTCCATGTACGCAGAATGCAGGCAACCCGGCGCCCCTGCCTTGTGTGGCACTGCAGAGAGGGAAGTGTCCCAATGGCTGACCTCCGAGCCCATAGACCTAAGGCAGCCGTGTAGAAGAACTTCAGGTGGAAGCACAGTCGTAATCCGCAACCATCGTAGTATGGCAGGAGCATGACGCGAGTCAAGGAAACACCTGCCTGACATTTCGCCTCCTGTAGGTACATGGACAGAGGCGATGTAAGGCAGTTTGCTGTGACAGAAGGCGGACACATATTCACCTTTCTCCTTCACGCTGCGGTTGCCTTTTGTCATTGCTGCAAATCGTCGTTGGATGGCCTTGGTCGCCTTGGTGGCAACCCTAAGGCACGTGGCCCGAGAGGTGCGCTGTCGCCACCCGTCCGGCTGCAAAGAATACCTACCTTCAAGAGTGAGGCCGAGTTGCATGGCCTCCGCACAAATAGGCATCAAGACCGAGCATGGCAGCATCGCTGAGGGGCGTGTTTGTCACAAGCTTGCTCTTGGAGCGGCATGAGCACGGCCCAGCGTAGAGTGACAGCGGCAGGTACCGCCGAGCAGCCACCCCAAAATTGCACTCCACTGAACAGCAAGGCTAACCTGCTCACGGGCGAAAGTAACAAGTAGGTCATGAGAGCACAGCGGGTGATCGATAAACCAAGCTTGAACAGCCTGCACAGCAGCCAACAGGGTAGCGTATCCTTGTCCGCCATACACGGAGGACGCAAAAGCCAGCGTCCAAGAGAAGCATTGGTGGTCTTCCGCAACAAAACCTGACCAGCTGCTCATAACACTGACGGGTACGGCGCAGCCATTGAAAAGACCGTGCGCTTCCGGCAAACGCGCAGTCGTCTACATAACCCTCCGTGGCGGCTGTGGCCTTACCTGACAAGGCAATGTGTACGTTTCTTCCAGGGCTTGCGCCGCGTCAAAGCCGAACGCCGTGAGATCCCTTACGTCAGGGGCGAACTCTGGGCGAACGAAGTCCCGGGCTGCGCCTCCTCCGCTTCACGCGCCCGGCGTTCATGATTATATTTAATTTGCACCCCCCCCCCGGTTCAAGCGCTTGTATTCATCCCGAAAGCTGACGCTGGGTCCTACGCGGATAATTTTCGTCCATTAGGGTTGCCAAACACTGCTGACCGCGTTATCGATCAGGCTTTTCCCAGCATATTCCCTTTCCTCCTTCGTCAGCTAGGCTCAAGGACCCGACGTCATCTGACCATTGCCCTGGCTGACCAAGCTCGCCATGGACTGGGGACAGTGCGTGACAAGAACATGAAAGGACAGGTTCTTTTGCAGGGGGCCAGATTGCGTGGTCTCGTGAAGTACCAATTCGGTGCCTCCAAGGGTCACATGCCGCACCACCTGCCTGGCATAGAAGCCACCTGCCCGGCATCGGAGCCACGCCAGCCTGCCGAGTCACACGAATCATACGGATCATACGGTCATACGGTCATACGGCGGCTTGGCACTGCGCCACCCGGCCGCGCAATGCGCAACCCAGGAAACCCAAGGGGCTCCATTCTCCATCCATGATGATGGAAGACCATTTTATATGCTGGGAATCTCCAAACCGGAGGGAAGCACCTAAGCAAAGCAGGAATGCGCCAGCCCACAGTCGACGCTGCCTCGAGGATTCCTGTCTGAGTATCATCACCTCAAGGAATACCGCGAAGCTAAGGGGGAGGGGCAGCGCCTCCCTCCGTTCGTGTCGAGGGAGCTGAGAGGCCAGGAAAAGACCACCATACAAGTCCCCTAGTGGCAACTGCAACTTGGCACCCCATCACAAAGCCTTAGAGACCCTTCTGATCTGGGGAACCCTCATGGTCATTGCCCATGCCTACGGTCAGTAAAGCGTCCAAGACCTGATGCTGGGGTGGCACCACATGAAAACCCAACTCCTCGAAGGTGTCCAGTCGGGATGATTTCGTATCGCAGGGGTGTTGTACTTTCGCAGCGCTCCCTCACTTGAGTCGCTATGGGACATTCGGGGCCTTCGTAGCGCAGGGTGGTATAATCATATATCGACCCCGTGCTACCAGTGAATTGACCGAAAATCTCGGTCAAAAACGCTTGGGACACCTTGGCCACCTGACGAGACCTGGGGCGGACCCGGGACTGGCAGGAATGCGATTGAGGGAAAATATCCCTCAATTCAACTTCCCGTGCTACCAGTACACGAACTCGCTTTTCCATCGCGCACTTTTCGGCCCCAAAGAGAGCGGTGACGAAGCGGTGACATCGCAGTGAGACTGTTTTTGGGCCAAAAAGCCGTTTTGGACAGGTAGCGAGAGCCCATGGTGAGATGGTTTAGGCGTTGCTCTCCGTAGCGACGTTTCGGAGGTTCGATTCCTCCCCGGCACCTCGGCGGGCTGACGTGTTAGAGACCGGTGACATCGGCGGTGACAAGTTCAGCGGGCTGACGCGTTACGTGGAAGAACCTCGGCAGGCTGACGTGTTACTCGGGAGCACCTCGGCGGGTGACTTCGGCGGTGACAAGCTCAGCGGGCTGGAATTCGCAGGTTTTTCGAGGCAGAATACGGATTTCGGAGCATGGCGAACACCTGGAACCGGTTTTCGGAGGAAAACAAGCGAATTTGGAGGCCCAGGCAGCACTTTTGACGCAGGACACGAAAAAA